CAAGCTATTTAACCAAGTAGGATGTAAATAGAAACGGAGTTTGATACTCTGTAGTGATTTATTTATTACGTAGCATCGTAATTCATAACTATATCATAAATGTAATAAAACAATTAAAAAGACAATACGGACAAGATGCATAGATCTTCATTTATATTTATATACCATACAATATAGAGGGCGGCTCTTCACGTTGGTCTCAAAACCTGACTGTATTTATAAAAGTTAAAAAAATCGTTGCCACGAACATTTGTATGTATATTTATACATATGTATATGCATATAATACGAAGGAAGTTTATCTTTCTCGTTCCTTTCCGGGGGAGAGGTATGACACGGTGTGTGTGTGTTCAAGTTTACAAAAAAAATATTAGCATTAGGATTAGGATACAAGAGAACTTTATTGATGTTTTGAGACTTTTCACCCCTGCCATTAGTTAATACCTAGCCAATTCAATTCTTCTGCACTCGTTACAGTCCACTATCTTTTCTGCTCTGTACATTGATTCATACTTCACATACAGTTGCGACATATAAAGTAATTCTGTATAACTGCCCCGGGCGTTCTCGTTTCTTGACAAGTCTAATGCACGTGACGCAGCAGTGTGTGTTTGTCAATTTAAAATGGATTCATGCGTAGCCGGGTTGTTGTTGTTGTTCCTTTTAGAAAAATCATAGAAACTCAATTTCATCGCTGTTCGTTTGTCCTCTGTTTAGTTCACATTCCCCTTCGTCCGGCCTCCCTTTCGTTTTCCGTCCAAAGCGATGGTCGTGTCTCTGAATTGGCTTACGATCGATCGTCTTTGTGCTTTCTTTGAATTATTACGATTATGTCGGAGAAGAAACGCAGCGGTGCACAAAACAGTCAAGTTGAGCGCGCCGTGTAGTTCCAGGCAAAAGTCTAACTGCGTATTATGCACTGTTCTTGAAGAATAGTAAAACGTTGTTTCTATAGGTAGCTCCGAGGTTCCATGTTAACGTCGGCTGCTGACTTGCGACCAACCGTCGTCCTCTGGTGGTCGTCTTCTTTCGTCGTGTTTCGGTGGGAGTTTATCATCTTTCGGATCATCTCGCCTATTCGTCAAAACCAAGTTTTTTTAGTCTGTTATCAAACAATTCTTTAGAAATATATTTTTCATTTCCATCTTCAATCTTTCTTTTTTTGTTATCATTTCTAAGGTTAATTGGGTTACCATTGGAAGAATGTGCTTACTTTTCAACGCGTCTAGGTGGATCTCGAGGAGAATTTTGTATCAAGTCGCTTTTATCGCGCCAATTCTGAGTGGTACTACGCAATGGTTCCTCGCGACGATGGCCGCCGCCACCGCCAACACCACCGCCACCACCACCGACACCACCACCGCCACCGGGTGGCCCACGACGGTCGGGCATTCTGCCACGGGCACGTGGTCCGTCCGCCATCGAATCACGTGTAATATCACGCATCTGTAAGAACGAATGTACACAAATTATGAATCACCATAAAAGTCTATTCTTGTTTCATTAACGTTGTATACTCACTGGACGAACATCCCTGATGCGATCATCTTTCTCGTAATCTTCTCGTCGCCATTTCTCAGTATTCTCTTTTTTCGGTTTGTCCAGCTCCTCCTTCCGCCATTTATTATCCGTTGTCTCGCCGCGTCTCTTCCAATGACTGAACTCTTCTTTATTACCGTCTTCTTTCGCCTCGATGTTGCGACGCCATGACATTACTTCCACTGTAATTACAAGGAGAACATGTTATAAGAGATTCGATCAGATTGTGACTACTATATAAAATGATAAAAATAATTGAATACCTGGTTTCTCTGGCGCGCGTTGGCGTCTCCATGTATCGCTCATTTCTCTTTCCCTCTGTCTCTCCTCTTCCATCTTTCGTTCGACTTCCGCTTCCCTGGCTCTAGTAATCTCAGCTTGTTTCTCAATCTTAGCTAAACGTTCCGCCTCCCTTGCTTCTTCTTCCGCTCGTTTTAGTCTTTCCTCTTCCTCCCTCTTCGCTCTCTCCTCCTCCATTCGCCGCTTCTCCTCTTCCTGTTTGACACGCAGTTCCTCTTGGCGTCTTCTCTCCAAAGACTCAGCGCGTTCGTGCTCCCACCTCGCTTTGCGTTCGGCTTTACGTTCGATCTTGCGTTTCAATAGTCTACTGGCCCTTTCTTCGTTCAGGACCTTTTCGAATTCCTTGAGCTTCTCGAGGTAAATACTCTTACGTTCGGCCAGAATCTTCGACAGGAAGATATCGTGATCCTCTTTCATTCTGGCCATGCGTTCTCTGGTTGCGACAGCCTGCTGTCTCTCCTCGATAGCTGCGGCGATCCTCTCCGCTTCTTGTTGCTCCCAGCGTTGTTTCGCTTGCTCCATCTTCTCCACCACTGCTTTCTCCAGTAATGGTATTTCTTCCAAACGTTTGGCACGTTCCAAGTAGTCGATCTTCTTTTCTTGGGATTTCAACTTCTGTTGCATCTCCCTGCGCTCTTTCTGTAACTCTTCAGCTTCGCGGGCCGCAATTTGTTCTGCGTCTAACTTCTTGATCTCGTCTTCGTCCAGTTTCTTGAGTACTTTCTGGCCATGACTAGTTTGAGAAATCTGTTGCATTTTCTCTTTGAGATGGCGGTCCTTGATTTGTTGAATTTCGCTTTGCTGCCGTTTCCTTTCACGCTCCTCCCTCTCTTGCTCTAGTCTCTTCTGCTCGGCTAACATTTGTTGCCTCTGCAATTCTTCCTGCCTACGCATCTCCTCTTCTTCCCGAACTGTGTTGATGTGTTCTATGTACTCTTTCCTTTCCTCTATAATCTTGTGTCTCCCTAGAATCCTTTGATGTTCTTTCAGTTTAGTTTCATGGTAATGCCCGACCATGGCAGAACGCAACTTTTCACGTTCCATTTTCTTTTTATTTGGATTAATAATGGTAATTGCTCTATGTAACACGGTCGCCATATTTACAAGTTGACAACGAATTTGTTCAGACGGCATAGCTTGTAGAACCGGACCATCGGGATGATCTTCCCTCTGGGCCTCAGACAGATCCACTCCGAAGTGCACACATTTCTTCCCATGATTAATTCTTATTTGCATGTCGTTGTATCTTACACAGTCAACTAAGAGACGTTCCAGATGGAAATCCGTAGTAAACTTGGCAAGTTCTAGAAGCCTCGCGAATTGTATGGTTTGATAAACTTGTGATATTTGATGGACCAAACGAACGAGCGTTACGTCTTGCAAGGCTGGAATATACTGAATCAGAGGACTATTTTCATCGGTCTGCAAAGTTTGTATAACAGAATCTACTCGATTACATAGCTCCAGAGGATGAAACTCAACTTCCAGCCATGAGTATAATTCTTGTAGTTGTGGAGATGCTAAATTTACAATATTTAAACGAACAATATCTTTAAGCAAAGAGACTCTTGTCGGTGGCTGAGTAAGACCTAAAAGTGTTGCTAGCTTTTGAGCCTTTTCCAAGGGACTTTTATCTGTTTCAATAAAACGATCGAATTCTGGATGAGCTGATGGCAGTGGAATAGATAATGTAGCCAGCAGAACACGGTTGGCCATTCTCTGCTGTTCCTCCAATGACATATTCTTTTTCATTTCACGAGAAAGTTGCAACAATTTAAACAGCGCAGCTGCATGGAAAAGGTAATTTCCTGCTTTCCAGAACACCATAGCTAATTTCTGGTAATAATTAGCCATAGTTTTCGGTACTGGAAGCTTCTTAGACAAGTTCATCATACCATGTACATCTTCGGAGGACTTAAAAGCCTCTTGCCATAGCTCCATTTGAATCGCAGAATCAAGTTGATTCAATCGTGTCTCCAAGTTCAGTTGCTGAGTCTCAGCCCTGTTCATGGAAACATTAGAGACTAGTGCTGGTAATTTACAAATTTCTTCTAAGTGTTTCCTCAACTTTTCACACAACTTACGAAATTCAGTCTTACGATTGTATTCAAGACAAAACTGGAAGGCCATACGTGCAATATCATGATACAATGTTTCCACATGTGCATTGGTTCTCAACAGTTCCAAACACTGACAGTATGATTCCCATAAAAATTTCACCCAAGGTGTTAAAATTGTACGGTCACTCCTATCTTGAGCATCCTCCCCACTGACCGCAGACAATAAAATACTCTCAGGAGTAGCTAAATTATCCAGATCATCTATATCTATAACAGCCTGTTGACTTTGTTTTCTTGCTTGGTTTGTTTTCTCTTCTGCCATGCGTAAATATCCACGTATAACGTTTTCTAAACTTCCAACATTTACAGATTGGAACATATTTCGATATTGAAATAGGCCTTCCTTTGCTATGTGTGACTTTTTTAGTTCCACACATAGGTCCAAATATTTGAACATTATAGGTTCCAAAACGGACTCTGACCAGTTGTAAGTCCATTTTTTATTTCGGAAGACTTCTTGCAAAGTATCTAATGCCCGAGCTGGCTTCCCTACTTCGATGAATTCTATTAAAAGAAAAAAAACATATGTAATGATAGGATTTCATTAAATGCATTTAATTCAGCATTTCAATATTCCATACATGTGTTTAATGCTTCAATGAATTTTCTTAGGTTATATTGCAAAATAATACCCACGGTTTATATAACAAAGTAAATAAATGGGTCTCTATATTGTCAAAGTCAATTCAATGGCAGCAATGTAAACCAATTTAACAAAACGTGCAAATAATATAATGGGGCAAAACATAAGATCACCAACACTTATTTTTATAGATACAAAAAAAGCAACTATACCGTACAAATTTATTCAATGTAAACCTTTAATTTTCTCGTTCGCGTAACATCATAAATAAAAAACAGTATTGTAATATGCTGAGTACAATAATGAACTGTGGTATACTATTTTTCGAAGTAGATGGTTTACATAAGTCTATTACAGGTGCATATGGTATAAAACTAACATTCTTTTCGAGAAAAAATCAGACAGGCGTGAGTATAGGTAAATTGAATCCTACGTGACAAGCAGGCTTAATCATTACGATATTTAATCAGTGCTAAGAAGATACACGGTCAAGCCAGACGGTACGGGTCGCAAAAAATTTGGTGATAGGCTAAACGAATTTTTAGGCTCTAGATTAAATATCCATCGGCCATGTCACATTCTTCTGTTGCCGAGCAGCATACATACCGTTCGCTCTTTTCAGAGCATTTTCAGGTCTTTGTCCGTATCGCGCCATTTTCTCGCACTAATATAGTTAATTTCACACCATACACAATATCGCAGAATCCGGTTAATCTGCGTAGAAAATCTGGAATTTACTTTTATCAACGACACGACGTTTGTCACGACGGACTCCGACCGCGTGTACCGGATGAAAGGCGGCCGCTGTAGAAAAATGGCTTCCCGTAATATGTAAGTCAAATCACACAACCTGATTTCGTAATACCTAAAATACGGTTGATACATATAAATCAGAATATCAAGAAAAATACAACTTAGTTTACCGTCGGTGATACTTTTAGCATAACTGTCTATAACTATTATTATTATGCTTATGTGGATAGAAAATGAATGGGGGTAGCAAGTGGGCTTGGCACTAGATGTCGTAAAGGTCTATTTTCAACTTTATTATCCATTACATTAAGTTTTTTCTATTATTCTTAAATTTTGTTAGTAACTATTTTATAGTACAAAAATGCGTAACACTGAATAAGCGTTTGAATGAAATGTATTTAAGAAATAATATCTTCTATACAAAAATGGATCAGTGCTTATAATACCCTTTATTAAATTTTCTTGTTTCAAAATGTCCCTTATCTTCTTATATACAATTCCTTTAGATCTACCGTATATACAATACTGGAGTATTTCGAGTGAATAAATTTATTTACAAAATTATATATTACGTTATAATAGAAATAAATTTTCTACAACAGCCAGATTAATTAGAAAATTTTCTACAGCTGGTGGTAAATTCTTTTCCTTTAATGTTTGTGCAGAAACCATCTTCCTTCCATCAGGTCCTTGAACTACAGCTAATGATGTTAGCTGATTCAGCAAATCTTGAGTTTTATCATTAATCTCAGATATTATTTGGGCTTCAGTGTAGGTTTGATTTTCACATAACTGAACCATGAAGAGAGCTATTTCTTTATGTGTTTTTGTCATTGTAAGACTTTCTAGAATATGAGAAAATGATATTTCACAAAAATAGCATATTTAAAGCAAAAAAAAAGTATTTTTCAAAGATATACTTCTTTACCCTTTGCATGTGAAGCAACTGTAATTTCTCTAGCTGGAATGTTTACAAGTAGATCAAAAAGATCTGTTCTTGATGATATTGAACTATTTCTGCAGCCCGCAACATAATGAGAATGTCTCTACAAGAAGTTTATTAATTTAGAACTTAATATAAATACATGTTAAAAAGCACATTCATGTATGTACCTTTAATTCGGCTACTTCATCATCAACCAAATCAATCCAAGGAAATAAATTATCACTAACTTTACGATGTTTCATCAATGCAGGAAATAGTCCAATCCATTTTAATAGTTGTTCTAAACTGTGATGATAAACTACTATTCTTTTTTTTAAAAGCAGAGCTGTATATATTAATATAGTTTCTAGTTCAAATGCTTTAATTAATTCTCTAATATTAGTATTTATTGCAAAACGATGACTATTGAAGTCATCTGAGACAAATGTTCCATTTTCCTGAGTAGAACAAGATCCTTTTGTAAATACAGAAAGATATAATTGTAAAATTTCTGTTGGTTTTCCAGTCTTACAATACATTTTGCTAAGAACTCGCGAAAGAACTTCATATTTTCGTGGATTAAAGTCCTTTGCAAATAAAACCAAAGCAAATTGTTTCACCTGTTAAAAAAAAAGAAATAAGAATGTCATCCTATATTTACTTTATTTATTTTATTCGCAGAACTAATTTAACTTACTTTTGGTAATTTATCTGAATCAAATACTTCACTGGAATGTATATAGAACCAATCATGTTTATGCCTTGAAAATACAAATACTTGTGAAGAATTATGTTCAGAGTCTAAGTTACATTTCCTATCAACAACTGCCTTTTGTAATTCTGAAATGAATGGATAAGACCATGTCCATAACACATCGCCATTGGAATCCTTTTCTGAAATTTAACAAACGAATAATAAGTATTAAATGAAATTAATTGCACGTACACGCGTTTAAATCAAAATCTACCGATTATGCTACAGGAAAGTAAATCCGTGAGTGGGGCCATTTCGATTTGACCCATCAAATTGCATTAAAATAATTAAACTCTAATCGTTAATTTTATTTTCATTAAAAGTGACACATAATCATTCCCACATTTTGCGACAAGTGTTCATGCTATAGATATGAAAACTAGTATTGACAAGCTTGACATTGCTCTAGGTTATGTTTGATGAAAGTGTAGGGTTAACATATAGTAAAAAATAATTGTTTAATTATTCTATTGTACCAACAATTCCTAGTTACATTTTTAGCTTCTGATTAATAAATTTTAATAATCAGAAGTTTTCCACTAACTAAACATTGTAAAAAAATCTAATGTTTCTAATGTAACAAATAGTGACATAATAACTTTCCCCATCGATTCATGATATCACTAGAAATGGTAACTATAGAATGACGGTCAAGATGTAGAAATGTTTTATCTTTAAAATTTATCTTTTTATGTCATTCTACTTAATACAACGTAACAGAAAATATAAATACTAATTACTATTAAATGTACTCTTCAAAATGATATCCTATAGCCTGTGAAATATTTTTAACGGATTAACAATTTATTTTTAAATAAATAATTCTTAATTAGTGCTTTATATTTATGTATTTGATATAAAAGTCGTTAAACAGAACCGTAACGATTAAATAATTGTATGTGATTCACTATCTACATTATATCCCTAGTTAGTTACCGAACCGAACAAAGTGCCAGCAATTAGTAGCTGCTAGCACGTCTGTGCTGTTAGGTACGAGACTCTAGTAACAGCACATATCATTGGGAGACGTTGTCCACAAAAACATTGTTGTGTTTAGTCAGTGCGAGAGTAATTCGGATGGACGTTCGTGAAGCAGTGAACTGCAATGAAAATTCTCGAATACCCGAAAAAAAATTGTACCCACGGGAAGAAGACAGGGTAAGAAATAGATGGCGTGTGAAATAATTCTTGATAAGATAGTGGAATCATACCCTTTCCCCGATTCGGAGCCAATTTGAAAGATCGCACAACATTTGAATATGTTGAATCAGACGTCAGAGGAACTGATCGTCTCTGCCCCTCCTGGTGCAGAGAAAACACCTAAGCAAAGCTTAAAGCCACGAAAATTAACTACAAGAACATTTGATTTTCTTTGGAGGCGTAATTCACGACGCGAAGATATACAAAAAAAAGAGGATGTGTTAGAAGTTAAAATCGTCGAGTGCAATGTTAACAATACTGTTCCAAGGAAGACGTCATTTAGTTTCTTCAAGAACATTAAAAACCACATACAAATCAGGAAGCTGTCAGTGTGCAAAGCGAAGGAGAAGGTAAGTATAAAAAAAAAATGCTGGTTGCGTTTCAGGTCTAAAAATCATTTTTACAGGAGAATGAAATTCAACTATCCAGCACAGAAAACAAAACAAACTGTGATTTGTTGACACTTCAAAATGACATATCCAGAGTTTCGACAGAGGAGAATAACGTATCTGAAATTCGATCAGATGGTGTCATTGGATTTCCTGATGAGCAAAATAGCAGTGAAATTCCAGTTACCAATGATTCACCTTTTCAAAATGAAGAAGTTTTGGAAGGCTTAGATGAAACCTTAGAAAATTATTCTGATATTACTAGAAAATTAGATTTGATTAATTCAGGAACTGTTGATGAGATTCAAACAGACAATAGTTGTGAAAATGTTCCTAGTCCTTATCAGTCTTGCTCCGACAATCAAGAACAGTTAAGATACAGTCTTGCTATAGGAAATAAAATAACAGACTATCATTTTGAAGATATATTAGAGAGTATGAATTCTAATGAGATATTAAATAATGATAATAAAGTGAAAGCGAGTCTTACAGAGGAATTACTTAAATTAAGCAATTATGGGTGGTATTGGGGACCTATATCAGGCCATGAAGCTGATGCCAAACTAATATCTGAACCAGATGGTGCATTTTTAGTTAGAGATTCGTCAGATGACAGGTTTGTTCTTTAAATATCATGAGAATGGTAAATCATAAAGTAATTAATATTATCACTTTCGATTTTCATATAGGTATGTTCTGACTCTCAGTTTTAAATCATCTGGAAAGTTACTTCATGCTCGTATGGAACACAGTGGTGGCTTATTTTCCCTCTGCAACCAAAGCGAAAGCGAAGGATTCAGCTCTGTAGCCGATTTAATTGACTATTCAATGAATTTTAGCCAGACAGCTGTAATTTGTTATTCACGACCTAAATACCCTGGTCATCCATCTTTTCCAGTCAGATTAACAAAACCAGTAAGCAGATTTACTCAAGTTCGAAGTTTACAGTATCTCTGTCGTTTTGTTATACGTCAGAACACTAGATTGGATAATATTCATAAATTACCCTTACCAAAAACTATCAAAGGCTACATAGAAGAACATCCTCTTTTATGAAACACTTATAGCAATGCAAAATGTACTGTAAAACTAGCTATATAAATTGTTTAAACTGTTGTATTATCACTTCTTGCAGGGAAGTTTCATTCTTAGAAGTAATGAAAGATAAGATAAGAGCATTTTTCTAGAAAGACTGAAATGCTCATTGTTAGTTCTAAGAGATATTTTCATTTTTATAAAAATTGATATAATTGTATCAGAGTTATTGATATTGATAATGAGGCTCATATTGATGTTAACATAGATAATCTTGTAGTATTTCCCGAATCATTTCACTGTAAAATACGTTACATTTTGAAACGTAATATTAACTCATGAGACTTGGCTGTGTAAACATACTTTTTATTACGAACTAATCTCCTGCTCAATTGAATTAAGGAAAGAAATTGATCTCTTTTTTTCCATAGAGAGATCAAATAATTTTATATGAAGACGAAACTATGTTGCCTTAATTAATCGCGACAATATTGCAGGGTAATTGTTAGATATTGTTAAATTTATATTTCTATCAATTTTTATCTTTATATCTTGCATGAAAATAGCTCAGATTTATTAAATTTGACTTTAAATGTACAGATCTTAAAAATATTGCTAAAATAAATTAGCTATAATTACTAATTCAACATAAAATCGTGTTTCTTCTTAAACATTACTACATTACAAAGTAAAATACGTACATAACATTTCTGAAATATTTATCTACTTTTTGGTAAATACATTCAGAAAAAAATACTTTCATTGATTTTTTCCTGATTTACTCTGTTTGTATCTTAACATTGATTTACCTATTCCAATTCAGTCCAAGTATATTACGTGCCTGACAAATAAAAAACAATATTGGGTGAAAACCACTACGAAAATATGAAACTTAAATGTTTAAAACGACTTACTGTAATAAAAGCAGCACTGGCTGCTTCGGTAGCACGATTCAGAGCTTGTTCTGGTAAAGCCATGTCAGAAGTTGTTGTAAGAATAGATTGAATTTGCATTGCTTCTTTTATTCGTCTTTCCAAGAAATTCCAAGTTTGTTTGTTGTCTTCACTATTGTCTTGTAGCATGTACAATTCGGTGGTCTTATAAATACCTGCTAGTACTATTCGTCTAGTATACCAATTAATCTAATCAAATAGATGTTCTCTGTAAGTTATTTTACATATGGAAGATATTAAAATTCTGTGAAAGTATATTGTTCTTACATCAACTGATCTATCACCAGAATAATAACAAATATCATCGACTAAAGTAAGTAAATTAGCCAATGATTTTGGAACATTAGGAGGAAGTGTCATAAGAGCTAAAGCTTGAGGCCAAGTTTTCTTGTATGGAATCACCATTTTGAGTCTTATCTTTACGGCATCTTGTAATTGAGTTTCCAATGTCTTTTTTTCTTTAGTAGGATTGTCTTCAGTAACACGAGCTTGTTCCTTAAGAACTTTATTCAGTTCGTTGTTACATGTTAGATAAAAGTATTGAACCAAATCTGCTCCTCGATTGGGAAATAGTCCATGAATTACACCAGGATATCCAATAGACTCGGCACCTTTAGTATACAACTTTTCATTAAACATATTTATTTATTAACCGAGTTAGGTGATCAGTGCATGAAATCAAAACTAAAAGTAAAGTTTATGATAATTTCTTTAATTTCATAAATACTTGATACTGATAAATATTGCTTTTGGCTGATCTACTTAACTGAAAAATTATTAAAAATTACCAGCACTGATGGCTTGCTGGCTCCATCCAAGATCATGTACAAATTGTAAAGATGCGCTAAGAATTTTTGACTTGATATTCTTTTCATAGTCCTCATCACTTTCTTTGTTCTGATCCTGACCCGATTGCTGTGTGGTAGCATTTTCAGTTTGTCCTGTGAGCAATACCCTACTCGTCCATAAACTTCTAAAACCTATTGAAACCAATCACTCAAATAATAAATCATAAGACTTAATAGAATATGTAAATGATAAATGATTTTATTTCACGATAAATGTACATCTTATAAATGTTATTATTATTTTAACATTACAGTGTTATCATTATTTTTGGTAAAGGCAATCTCAGCAATGCATTCATTGATCCTAATCAAAATGCTTTCCATTACATCAAGACCATTTACTGCCTTATGACAGAATGAAATTTTCTCTGGAATTGGTAATGCTGGTAACTTTTTTCCACCCACAATCAGTGTTACTTCAGCATCACTTTTTTCTAATCCTATATCACTTTTAACAGTTTTCTTTTGTTCTTCTAAGTCCTTTATTCTCACTTTCCAATGTGCTCTACATAAATCTATTCCTTCTCTTAAAGGTTCTAGAAAATCACTTTTAAGTTCATCTAAAAGATCCCAAATTCCAGTTTGATTGTATCTATCCCTGAGAAATAAAAATCTTAAAAGATTCAAACTGGTAATTATTTCATCAGATATTTCTACCAGGTCTGTTGCACTGCCATGTGATAATTTGCAAGCCAATTTCAATAAAATTTTGAAGTTATCTCCAAGAAAGTAGGGTGTAGGAGGTGATGTATGAAGGCATTCAATAATAGAATCCTTAAATATGCTAGTAGTCAAGCTAAGTAAACCTGAATGTTCACTAGTTTGATATAAGCGTAGTACAACATGATATCTAGCTTCAATATCAAATATTTCAATGTATTTTCGAAATACTTCTAAAGCTTTTCTACGTTCTTTGTCATTATCACAATAGATCATTATTTTCACAAGAGCATCAAAGAGTTTTGAATAAACATTAAGCTCCAACACATCTAATGTTAAAGAGCGTTCTGTTAATTTATTCAGAAGATGATCCGTAAGATTTAATCCTTTTTTAATGGCAACAATTTCAGTTTCCTGAAGCAACTTAATAATAAGATATATACATGTTTGAAAAATGTATTCCCAGTTGTATATCTGGGGTACTTTCTTCCATAAATGCAATTCTGTTAAAACATGAAAATATAAATTAGCATATGCTAAGTCTGGTACATATTCTCTTGACTCAAAAAGAGCCACCTTAATGTTACTACTTTCTTCGTCGACCTTTTTCTTCTTCAAATCATTTTCTCTGCTTCTTCTGCTTATAATACTTAAAAACCAAAGTAAATCCCCTGTAATATGAGTCATAAGTATTATAATTTTTTCTGGCAAACGATCATTCAATTGGGATCCTGATGTGTAATCTGGTAAATAACATAGTGGTTCTCCCATTAAAAAAATGAGCAGACTTAAGAGATGATCTCTTAACACAGCATGTTTCTCTGAATTTACATTCTTCAATGCTGCTTTCTCTACCATTAGTTCAAGGAATGATATAATCTCATTGTAAATTTTCAGAATTCTGTTTGTTGTATCTTTCTGAGTTTCTTTCTGTCTTGATAAATCCTCAACATAAGATCTTATCGTATAAAGACACCATTTTATTGGTTTTATGTTATCATTTATTTTCAAAAGATTCTTACCAATTACTTTAAGAACTATACAAAATCTTAAGTCATCTTCCATCTCTTCTAAGAATTCAAATATTATCTGTTTAAGACTACATTTTTCTGCTATAGCAGTCAGTATCAATGTACAACAATCGATCAATTCTTTATTGTGTTCTGCATTTTCATTAGTAATAAAAGATGACACAGTTTGTATAATTACCCATGAATCTCTGTCAATAATAGAGTTATTGCTATCGTCTTTAAACAATTCTAAAGCTTCTTCGAACTTGTTCTTTTTTAAGTTATCAGTCAATTCGTCAATGAAACTTTGTGAGTTCATATTGTAAGATCCTGAGGATTCAACTTCTTAATCAAATAATATATTAAGTGAGAATAATTAATATTGCCTCTATAACCTCTTCATTCAACACCTTCAGTATTATTATTTCACTGTACCATCAGAAACTGTTAGAATTTCCACTTTTTAGCTGGCAGTAGATCAACGAACATACAAAATTCTGTTATCAGAGTGTAGAGAAATATTCAAAAAATCGAAACACTTTATGGAATTTTAAAAATTTATAGTAACATCATATTCCATCACCATCTATGCTCAACGATATTTTATTTACGTCTCGTGCTTAACGAGACATGTATGAAGAAGGAATTGCGTAAACAAGTGCAATCGTATTATAGCCAGTAGCATTTTCCTCATCAATTTGATAACTAATTTTGTAAAAGTGCAACAACACAAACAACAGGACCAAAATTGATGCGAGTATGAATCGGGATTGGTATATATTTATCAAGGGAAAAATCTCGCTCACCGTTTATCGATAGACTCTTCCGCATTAATAACATGCTGCACATAGCCATATTAATAGTTTTAAATAAACTACTTGTCGCGCATTTATGTGCACACGATGAAACCCGCGATTATTATTATTTCACTTGTAAGTTTTCGCGTGTGAATATACTTTGTGAACCGCACTTTAATTTCATAGTCACTTATGGGCTTGCCTTAACAACCTTCTGATAGTCAAGATCAGGGGACGCTAGTAGCAAGCTCGTAATATCAATGAAATATAAAAATAGATCAAACACTTTATAAACTTTCGCGGTCCAAATCAAACTTCTTCATCAACTTAAATAATTTAATACATACTATAGCATCTCGTAAACAAGAAACAGGTATTCTTTTATCTATCCTGTATTAACTAAATATTACATTTTTATAGAGAATTCCTTTGTACTTATACGATTAATGTTAAATTATATTGTTAACTTCATATTTCTACAATCTTCATATTTTTAATATTTCACCATCCTAATGTATAATTGAATAGCTACTCTATTTATCAATGTACACGATATGCAAGTTTGGATATATTTACAATTATTAATTAGAAATGAAACCAAACATCCATTCAATAAATAATTATTGAAGAAAAGCTGCTGTTTCTAATAAATTACAATGTAATTGTCACACCGATAACACTGGTAGACTATCTCCTAAGCACAAAGAAAACTATAATACCAGACAGCTATCGGTAAACCGGAAGTGGGGTCCGCCATGGTCGCAACGTTATCAGCAGGGCAACGATAAACATCATTTTCTCTTAAACAATCAACGTTAAACGACTCTTTTACCAAACCCGAATAAAATTGTGAGAAAGTAAACCGCCTATAAAATCTTTTATTTATAAAACATCTGAATATCACGTTTCACCTTAAATTCAAAATATTATATTTTATCTTACATGAACCTGCATTGAATCAACAAACAAACGTTCGATGTAGATCATTGGAATTGTAGATTTTGTTTGTTGATCCAAACCCTTTCGGTCGCGAATTATTTTTTCCAATTGAATGTGCGTTTGTAGTTTTATTTTGTGATAACACTATTTGATAAGAGAGGTCGACACCATTATCAAATAGAATCTATGGTTGTGATAATATGATAACATTAACAACATCAACAATCAAATTTACCGAATTTCGATACACCAAGCATTTATTTATTATGTCCTTATAAAATGACCGAAAGGGTTAACACGTTAAATGTCACGTCAGCCATCGATCACTGACATTTCTGAATTACTCGCAAATATATAACAACAAAATATATAAATATATATCAAAATATATAACACGTTCCATGCCACGGAAATTTGTTACATTTTGCCTATGAACTGTATTGACTTTTTAAACAAACTATTAACTTACATTCAAGTTTTTGGTAAATTTTATGTACAATATTTTGATATTATTCCTTTATAAACATTTATAAATATTGGTACACGTGCTTCCGAAGGTTCCAAAGTGAACAACTGCTACTTTTCTTCGCTAAAAAGAATAACGTCAGAAAAATGGTGAAGATCTTCATGTCGCTTAACACGCTGAATGTCATGGGAGTCACCGGTGACCCCGACCAAATCGAATAGTTTATTCAATGAACCCTTCGCGGACGAAGATTCGTCGAACTACACAAGATCTTCAGCAGACGAAACCGAATGATATATCAATTGCTGATCTCTTACTATTTAAATAATTAAATCATTTGTTTGCGAGTCAGTCTTCGAAACAGGAACATTCATTTTACCGAAACGTCGACATTCGTCCGCAAAGGGTTAAGCGATGATTATATGAAAATATTTCTATATTGTAAATAACGTTATCTAATATTGTAATAATGCAATTCAAAAGCTTCAAAACTGCTTAAATAAAATTACAATAAGAAAACTGACGTCGCTAAAAAATACTTAGTAACACAAACAGCTAGATGACAGTGTAACACGTTTACTCTGATACCGAGTCATCAATAATTATTTCTAATACAACGATAACAATCGAATTCAGTCAAGCGATTTAATATTGTACTTTGTCCATTTTGTGTATTTCACTCTATGAAATCGGCGTTCAAAGTGTTAAAAAAGCAACGACATCCGAACCGATTACAAAACAAATGGCCGGCAACCGGGGCAAAAACGGTTCGAGACGTATCGCGCTCGCCGATTCAAACGAGCGTGTCCCATGCGTCGATGTCGCAACGTGGGATCCCCCCTCCAGGCGGTAAAACGCCGGGGAAGTCAAACTGTCGGCGCGAGTTCGCCTCCACCTGACCGGCAGTCGCGATTTCAAATTAACCGGGGACGAGGCCGTCGCGAGCCTTCTTTTTTTTCTCTCTTCTCCTCTCTCTCTCCTCGATTCCTGTCGTCGCGCGTTTCGTCCAGGACCCACGGTGATGTGTTCCCGCGACGCGTTGCTGTTGCTTTGCTCGCTCTTGGTGTTCTCCGGCCACCGGTGCGAGGAAAACGTCACCGCCGTCACCACGGAGGAGAACGCGCTGGCGAAACTGGTGAAAATGTTCTCGAAACCGGGAGCTTTCAAACGAGTGAGGACCCGAGCACTATCCTCGCTAATCGGCCGAACGGGCGGATTCCGCGAGATCGGTATTTAGCGTGCACAAAGGAAACGGTTGTATAACTTCGCTGGAAATGAGACGCAGTATCTTCCGGCAATTAAATTCGACCGAAAGCGAAAGAAAAACGCTCGATATTCGCTGTTACTCTCGCGAGCGTCACCGGTTAACCAGTTAACTGACGAGTATACGCGTCATCGTAAAGCTTGACATGATACTCTTTCAGAAATTCTTTATTTTTTCACATAAACATGTGATTCTTTGTTTCGCTTTGATATTTCATTGAAATATACGCGCATTCGTCCTGCGTTCGAGGAGCACACGCTCCATTTTTTTATTTTATAACTAAACTCCACACTTAACTTAACACTTTCTATATAGAAGGATATGTAATTAACCAGTTAAGTTTAGTAACGCGAGTAAGGTAATTTAGTAACTAAATCATTACCAATTTCTGACACCATTTATCTTTGCAATGACAGATTCGCATTAAGTGAAACATTCAGAATTCTCATGGCACTCGACGATTATATGAAAAGTGTTTAGTAACGTAAGGAGCACACGCTCCATTTTTTGATTTTATTGCGCGCAGAAACGGTTTTTCCAACTAAACTCCACAGTTAACTGGTCAATTACATATCCTTCTATATAGAAAGTGTTTAGTAACTAAATCATTACCAATTTCTGATACCATTTATCTTTGCAATGACAGATTCGCATTAAGTGAAACATTCAGAATTCTCGTGACACTCGACCATTATATGAAAAGTGTTTAGTAACGTAAGGAGCACACGCTCCATTTTTTGATTTTATTGCGCGTGGAAACGGTTTTTCCAACTAAACTGCACAGTTAACTGGTTAACAGTTGCGGATACTTGGTGAATCGAATATAGGATTTCTTCCAGGTGTAATCGTTGTAATTATAATCGTCGAATTGTTATTAGCAGCTTCGTCTGTCGCGGGTCTTTTGTGCGTATCGTTATTCGGAGTTTCCGGTTTCGCGTCGGAACGGGCACACAGGATCGGTACGCGAAGGACTATGAATCGGCTCGATGATAAAAGCACCGGTGATTTCTATTGCGTAACAAAAATTGTAACCGAAGAACGTCCGCGCACGCACGATTCTGGAACGCGCAGTTGTCCCAGGATTCTAATGATCGCCGGCCCGTCATTACCATTGAGAGCCGTGAATGAGGAGCGTAACTGGATATTTCTGATAATACACGGGAATCTTGGTAGTAGAATTGTTAGAGTCGGGATTCTTATGATTATCGAAATAAGAATGCTTTTGGAAATTTCGAAATGGATTCCTCTGTTTAACACGTTGATCGCCGATTTCGCGAAAAATCCACTGAATGGCGAAGATACGATATTCACCCTGTGCACTCGAAAGGTGACTCCAGGTCGCCAGCTGATTCTTATATAATTTTCAATTCAATATTAAACCTTGTGCAATGTAACAAGACACAGAACATCGAAAAATAAAATAGTAAAATAAAATGTAAAATAGTTCTGCCTCTTAATTTATAGAAGATAATCAATTGTGCTAGTTGCGAAGAATATCGTTAATATTCAGTCAGAACCGTTTTTTTCTTATGGAAAAAAATTCGGCCCATAGAGGGTTAAACGAACGATCGCCTGCATTCCAGTTGCAAAAATGTAATCGGTGGTTAACGTGCCGGCACGTTCAGCGTCGAAGAATAGGAATTCCGATGATTTCCCTGTTTTCCAAAGTAATTTCATATTTCGATCTCGCGAAGTCGGTCGACAGCGTTCGAGCGGGTCCGCGAGCCGTCTCCCGACACGATGGAATTGGATCGTTTACCAAATTGGTTGTGCCACGTTAGAAAATACCTAATTAAGAGTGCCTAATCGCGGGTAGGGTGTGTTGCGCAGACGTTGCACGGTTCGTGGCCGCAATGTAACTGCCCGGTACAACGTACTTTCAGATTAATGCAATACTCGGTGAAAATTCAATCGAGGAGTCTTACACGTCCTGCCCGAAAGGTGAGGAGGGCCTCGAATGCAGGAGAGCCGAAGCACGACGATCCGTCGATTGCCCGGAAGGTAAACAACTAGAAATCATCGGACAGTAATATCGTTTCTAAGTGATCATCGTGATAACAGTGGGAGATCCAAAGAGACGGATCAACCTACAAAAGTCTTAATCCTTTGCACTCGAAAGTTTTTCACTGGAAACTTTCCACATTTTTCGACGAGACATAGACATTGTTAACACATTGTGGACCGGTAACGAGAAATCTCGTTTTTATATGAAGACTTAGCTATGAAACTTCGCTGATTACCACAGTATTGAGAAAATATAAAATTTAATTCTAATTGATCATCTATTTAAAATGTATTCCACAGCAATATGATATATGAATTTTTCTGTGTATAGTGATATAAGTTGACCTCAGTGAAAATTGCCATCACAATTCAGTTTTCTGAAAATCAGCCGGTCCGCAATGTGTTAATTTAACGATAATTCACAGATAAATTAAACAAAGCTATTTTATTTAAATATTTCTAAAATTGATACGGAGTGTAACGTTAAATGTCAAATTTTATTTTTACGATATTAAATCAAATGGTGAGTGAAATCGAAGGGTTAAAAACATATCAATATCCTTTCGTTTCTTGTAGCTGAAATTTAGCCAGCGTACAACACGTTAAGTAACCTTAAATATCAAATTTTATTTTTACGATATTAAATCAAATGGTGAGTGAAATCAAAGGGTTAAAAACATATCAATATTCTTTCGTTTCTAGTAACTGAAATTCAGCCGGCGCGCAACACGTTAAGTCGTCATAAGAATTTCAGAAAGTAATCGCGGCAATGGTCGTCGGAATAATAGCTACCTCGAAAATCTGTACGCCATGAAACTTTCGTTTTCGTTTTTTCGATGGAATGCGTCTCCGTGCGTTGGCAGGCTCGCATCTAATAACACGGTAGCCCGGCCGGTCGTACGATCGGCGCCTAATAATCCACGGATCCCCGGATCCGCGGAGTTCCAACCGATTCCTACGATTCCAGGCGAAAGTGGAGGTTTTTACGTCGGTCGGAGGTCCGCGTTCCGGGAAAAGTGATTTATGGCGTCGCGCTGGAATTGCCGATCCTTCCGCGCGCGCGCGAGCGCGCGACCGGTCGCGTCGGTTAATTCATAGATCGACACTCTCGCGTCCGTGCGAGCCGTGCATTTAACGTGGGCAAACAATGCCTGGGAGTGGCTATGTCAAGGTTAGATTCTCCATTGTTCACCGCGGAAAGTATCGCTTTTCCATAACGACAGGGATCGGAGCGCTGCGCCGCGAAGATGCAATTGTCGGCGCGCAGAAACGCGGCCGCGATCCATCAACCTGCTGTTACGGGTCGAAAAGGTCGTCGGAGAGTTTCGAACCTGTTGAACGAAACGAAAACGTTTCGCCTATTGTAACAGACACGCGATTGATGCATAACAATCGTTGAAAAATCATCGAGATCGGGGTTCGAGTAAAACGGTCTTTTGATTCTCAATTTCGAATCGTTCGGGTTGAATTCGGAATTGATCGTCGCAGTCTTCGTAATCACTGTCGGAGTCGTTACGGTAATTGTAATTCTAGTGATTAGCATAGATTGCTGTCACGCTCAAGTTATAATCGTCGGGTCATTAAGCATTCAACGATCGCAATCAAGAACGCGGATACCTGCCTCGTTAGCCTGCTTTCACTGATACCGTCGTTAGTGCGATCTCAGGTTGTAACGCATTTTCAGCCACTCCCACGTTGTCGTTCGCTCGTGTCATTACGAGTGCATACCGACGCGCGAGAATATTAATCTCGCGATTAGAAGAAACGGAGTCCCGATCGAGCAGCGGATCCGCTCGGCGAATTATCCTCCGAGGCGATAAATCACTCTTACTCGGGACGAGGCACGCTCGCGGCGTTTTCTACTTTTCCCTCGAATTTCGCGGACGATTGTTAACCCCCTTGATTTTAAGATCACTCTCGTAACACACTTTCACCGCGTGTCATCGGGATTCACGCGGTTTTAGAACTTTCCACTTGTCGCTGCGCGCCTCTGCTCGGCAACCGAAATATCGAAATTCTTGGAGGCTTGACCCTTTGCGCGCGAATGTTTCTTACTGGAAATATTCGACAGCTTCCGGCGAGATATAGACATTCTTGAAACTGATTTAACGATAATTCAGATAAATCAACCCCTTGGCGTACTATTTAAAATGCATCGAAATTTTCCGTTTTACTTCAAGTGGAAATTTCAGTTGAAGATAATACGTTGATAGCAAAATATTTGTTTGATCCGTTGAACAATATTGATTGTCCGATTAGTCTAGAAATCATCGTCTCACTCAAGGTACGGCAAGGGGTGAAGCAAGACAGCTGTTTCATTTAAACATCTCGCACAGCAATACAAAGTTTAAAATACTAAATACTCAACTTCATAGTTTTGTATCAAATCAAAGCCACCTCTCGAGCAAAGGGTTGGTATTAGAGAATTCTTGTATATTTCCATTGCATTCGAGTGGAATCACGAATAGTTTTAAATAATTCTGCAGGAATACGTGCATGTAGAACGGTGAAAGTAGAAGTGAGACGTAGAAACGACATCGGTATCAACATATCTCGGTCGAACATAGATCAGCCTGTACTTACACTCGACGACAAAGCGACCGCATTGAAACTCAATATCGCACATCGAAGCTCCGTTGCAGTCGTCGTTAAAGCCTAGGTTCGAGATAATTCGTATCTGTCCCTCCTTTCGCTGTCCAACGCGACCAAAAAGGTGCACGGGACGCGCGTGATCTCGTAGGATCGTCCGATCATCGCGTCGGAAAATGTGATCGCAACAGATCGTGGCCGGATCGCTCGATTCTGTCGAATAATCCTTCCATTTTCCCGCGAATCGCAGACTTTCTCTGCGCGCGTCGCGAGGAACGTCGAAATCGCGCTGTCACGAGTGAAAAGTTCACCGGAGACATCAATTATCGAGTTCCCGGTGAAACGTGACTTTGAAAACCGAATGAAAAATCAACTCTAACGGTGCACGACCGTTACCGGGGAAAATCCCGCGTACCGCCTCCGCTTCGGAAATATCAACTCGATTCTAGACCAGTTCCCCGCTGAAAAATCCGCACGTGCGGCGTACGTGACACGCGATACACGGCTCTGCTCTTTCTCTCCTCCGTTCGCGTTTACGCTTGTTTAGCGTAAAGGAGTCAAGTGTCTCGCCGATGACGCAAGCGTGCACGGGTAACGGAATCGCGATGTATAATATTCGAGAAGAAATGTGAAGGAAACGTATAAAAAGGAGACGGAGAAACAATAACAAAAATATTGATTTCCCACGCGAATTCGGTCTTGTTCGTCCATGATGTAACGCGCGCAGCGGCCATTTTGGAAATCAGCCGCCAAGTCAAAGAAAATGTTTAGAAAAGGGACAAAGTAACAATAACAAAAATATTGATTTCCCACGCGAATTCGGTCTTGTTCGTCAAGTAGAAAACATTTAGAAAAGGAACAAAGTAACAATAACAAAAATATTGATTTCCCACGCGAATTCGGTCTTGTTCATCGACAATATAACGCGTGCAGCGGCGGCCATTTTGGAAATCAGCCGCCAAGTGAATTCTTCGTATTACGAACAATATATTCCAGTAACAAATAACCTGTATTCATTAAGGTCTTTTTCCGCTAGATTCGATGAACAGTATCATCCTTCTTAATCTCCGTGCGGTTCGATACTCACTTTTTACCGGGGCCGCGTGCTTCAAATATGGCGAACGATGGGACGCACTCCGGTTACCATATACGGCGATCGACGAAAGATCGATGTCGACGGACGCGGGGTCGGTGTTCCACCTGCTCGTTAATTCTTTTCTTTTTCAGGCGATTGTTACTGCTACAACTGCGCGGCGGCCGGGCCCGAATTGTGGGCCTCCTGTTGCCGCGAAAGTTTGCGGTGCTGTTCGCATCTCGCGGCGGCCTGCCGGACCTGCGACCACCCGACGCTGTACCCGTTCTGCTCGAAACACTTCAAGAAATGTCTCGGCGAGCACGACGAGAAGAAGCAGGATTGACGCCGACGAATTCGGCGGATCGTCGTTTCTTGGACCCGAGGGGACACCGTTCTAACCCTTTAACCGCGAAGACCGTCCGCGGACATTCGCGAGGCGATCCCGAACATCCTCGTCGAAGCATCTCGATAAAGACACGGAACACTTCTGGTTTCTCATTAGACTTCCGCGAAAGCGTTGCCAATATCGTCGGAGACAAACGAAAATCTTGAACAGTTTAATCAGCTGACTCAACGCATCGACTTATCTTTTCGCGAAGCGCGGAAGACGTTTTGCACAAATAAATCATGATTCAACAGCAACGACTCTGTTCTCTGTAACTACAAAGGAAACATAGGGAGAGAAGAAAGTAAAGTCGAAGGACAACGCGTTCGAGAGAAACGAGGGATTCCCATTCGGTTACCGATGTGTTAAGTTGCATTCGCGTCGCGTTAATAACAATCGCAAACGCGCAGCTTGTCCTCGTCGGGAAAGTTTCGTCGGTCTGTCGAGCTTTTCGAAGATGCAACGGGAACGTCAGAAATTCTTGTTTCACCTTTGTCGGCGCGTATGCGGAACACGTGCCGACCGTTCGAAATGCTCAACGTCGCGCGAGTTGACTTCTCCGCTCGCTTTCGTCGATTCCCTTGCGCAACGAAACAACAGAAAATTGTAAATCTCGCTCGAGCTTTCGCGCTAGTCTGTCACGGTTAAGGGGTTAGAGGGACGATCGAGACAAGATGGCGTCTGGAACGCGTACCGAAGAGGATGTCCTCTGACAAGCTTCGCGCATTCTTGGCGACGACCGCGCTGTTGTTCTTTCGCGCAACGAAAACAGAAATTGTTCGAGATACGCGCGGTGAGAACGGGCACGACTTGAAATCCCCCGGCGTCGAGCGGCGCCTTGCATAAGCTGAAAGTTTAACGTCGAGTTTCTAAATATAGCGTTTATCATTCGACTCGTTAAACTGGTCCCCGCGTGATTTTTTGTCGCGGACGTTTCGCCAGGCAGGAACTAAGATGCGAGATAAGTCGCCGTCCGTAAAAATCTTTCGTCGGAAACGTGCGTCCCTCGCGGGACGATCCTTCGGACAGGTGCTCTCGCTGCTCGGAAAGTTCGGCGAGACGTGCCTGCAACAATAGGGGAGTCCCTTACAATTGCTTGTCTTTTCATTGTGCAACTTGTGGAAATGGGTCGCGCGTGGGACCAGGAAGAGCTTAACACTTAGGCGACCACCTAAACGGAACTATACGAACTCCTTCGTTATCTTCGATTGAACTCGTTCAGTTAACCCTCTATGGCCCGAATTTTTATTCATGATTATAACAAAATCACAGTACAAAATTAATTGAATATTTGGTATTTTAAATTGAACTTTGTAGTGCTGTAGGGAATATTTAAACAAAATAGCTTTGTCGCTTAATTTATCTGTGAATTATCGTTAAATTTCGAACAATGTCTATGTCTCGTCGAAAAATGTGAAATGTTTCCAGTGAAAAACTTTCGAGTGCAAAGGGTTAACTATAAAATTGAATATTTAGTATTTTAACCCTCTATGGGCCGAATTTTTGTTCATGATTATAACAAAAATTATAACAAAAATAAGTATCCACATATGAATACGAATCAACAATGTATTCATTAGTTTCAATAATTCTATCAAACGAATACATTTCGTAACTTTCAAGTTACAATAACAAACTTTCACGCCTCGTATAAAAGTTTAACTGATTAATTTTATTCGCCACCGAGTGCAAAATGAAATAAATCAAGATGCCAATATACTGATGTGACTTTAAAGTTACACGGGCCTACAGAGGGTTAATTCGGTTAGAATTAGTATTTGATGAATTGCAAATAATCCCACTTCGAGACTTACTAAATAACAAAAGAAAAGATAAACGGAATAAAAGGCGATACGTTGCTAAGTGAAAAGTGGGAGATCCCATTCGGTTGGCTAAGTATCAAGATCAAGGAGCAGCTACCCTTACTGTAGGCTAGTTCCCAGTTCTCTCGCGCGACGAACGGAAAATTCGAGCTAATCCTTCAACGAAAAGATTCAGTCAAACAAATAAGAGTTAATAGATTCTGTTAGTTCTAATAATTAAAACGTTCTCTGTATATTCTTCCACGCTTAACCCTTTACCGTGAACTCCGAGAGGTTCACGTCAGACCGTGTCACGCCTTAAAGATGTACCCGAACGATGTTTACCATGATAGTCAAAATAGGAATCGATATTTATTGACAGCCAGAAATAAATAACGCATATAAATAAGAGTACAGTATTCTGTCGCTACATTTTCACCACTCGCGCTGGATAAATGGCGTGTGTTCCGTGGTTGAGCTTCGTTCTCCGGATTCGAATGTTCGTCGATCGCCGGATGTCCGTCAGTAACATTCACCTGGCGCGAATAGCCGTGTAAGCGTTCATGAAAATAGTGCCCTTACGAGACAAGATGTAACGAGAAAATACTGTGGACCAGTACTTGTTGAACGTAAGCTTTGAAGATTATGGATCTTCCCCCACTCCGTCGGCTACGAACCCTATATCAGATCCCCGTTTTAAGTATCTTCACCTACAATGGTTTCTCTTTGAACACAGAGTGGGACAAAACCATGTAACAAATCTCGGTCGTTGATTGTTTTACTGTAAACTCAACTTGTGTAATTCATTCGTGTCATGGATGAACCCCGGCGCAACGTTAGATCATTTTATACCGGACAACGATCTAATTAGGAGAAATCCAAATTGTAGAATTATACTCAACTCTGATATACGCTGAAATGTTCAGTTTTTTTCATTATTGAAGTTTCATTTAAGATTGAGTTTAGAGACAAAACGGATATCGTAACGAAGTCCGTCGATAACACGAATGAACAACGATCACAATAATCTCGAAAGTATGTCAGAAAACCTTTATCGATTGCCTTAGTACACCCTCCTTACATGGATATATAAA